GAGTGCCCTCCTCCCTGCTTTTCGGCATTCTCTTGCCCTTCTTAGCTCGGATAGGTGTCAATTCCTCTAGAATGCCTCCCCTGGAGTGCAGGCGTTGGTCCCGTTATTGTAATAGTCTCCTGCTGCTAGACCCTCAGCTCTTGGAAACAGAGACAGTCTGACCTCTGTGTCTCTACAAGTGCTTCGCACTCAGTAAATGATGTTGTAGACTAAATTCCGAGCACATGCTCACTCAAAAAGTGTTCATTGAACAACTGTTGAATAAACTACTATGTTTTAACTTGGTGTAGGTTAGGAAGGTGCACTCCCCAGAGCTTTTGGTAGAGTGGTAAGTTGAGAGTAGCACTGGCTAACAGAATATGAAAAAGAGTTTTTGTTTCTCTTCTGCAGGTATGGGTTGGAATTGGAGCCTCTCCCTGTACTTGACTACAAACAACACCATGTGGTTACTAACTGCTCTTCACTCACCTATTGATGCCTCCCAGAAAAAAATGCCGCCAAACGTCCCGGAAAGCCCAACTGCAGTTTCACCAACAGCCACTGGAGGGCTCCAAACACCAATATGGATCTCCGCAGCTTCCCATCACCCACACTAGACAGGTGCCCAGCAAGCCCATTGATCACACCACCATCACTTCCTGGGTAGGCTATGGGATTCTTACTTTGACTGTTACTCTGTTAGGCAACTCAGATCATTGACTTGTCTGCCCCATGAACCAGGGCCTCCAAAGGATAAGATTCATGGCCCCACAGATAAGGAGGCAATATACTCTTTCTGTCTGTTGTCAGCCATCTCTTCTGGTATGTCTCCAAGTTCAAGCTGAAAAGTAAGAAAAGTCCAACTCGAGTTGGTTGGAACTGGAGTCTTGCCCCCCACCCCCACATCCCACATTCATATGAAAGTGTTTAGTATAAAAGTTTCATTATCCAGTAGCTGGGTGAGACAGCCAGATAAATGGCAGAACTAGTAAAAAATTAGATTGTTTCCTGAGCTTCATGGAAGAAGTATTTAGCTAAGTACTCTTTACTGTTTGATAGATTGAACCTCGAAACCCTGCAACCCCCCCCCCCCCCCCCCCCCCCCCCCAAATAGTATATTCATGTTTTAACAGTTTAAAAGCGCTGGGAAGAGAATATAGCCACTACATGTCTGGGAAGTAGTATAGTAAAAGGACCAGACAAAAGCATAAAATCTGCTTAGGAGTGCTTCATAAATATAATTTGTTCAGGATTGCTGAGGAGAACCATAATACTTGTTTCATAGTTGTGAAGAAACTTAAATGTTAAGCTCCTGTGGATGAGAAGAGGAATAAACATTTACTGAGAACTCATCATACGCCAGGTCCTGTGCTACTTGCTTTCTATCCACAATCTCCCTATTCTTGCATTCAGTCTTAATGGGGGGACTTTGTGCAGGCCTTCTGCTAGGTGCTGGAGTCAGTGGTAAGTAAGACTGCTTGTCTCTGCCCTCAAAGTTTAAAGATATACAAGTTGCAGCTGTATGGTGTAATAAAAAGAGGCATTATCCCCTTTCTTACGTAGGAGAAAACTGAAAGCCAGAGACATTGCACAGATTGCCCAAAGCTCATATTGCTTTCTGTTAATGCCCCATTAGACAGGTATTTTTGTTTTGTATCCCTTATAATAGTGGGTCCCATTTAGGATTCTAGTATCTGGTCATTGTATATTTTTGGTTGGCTAAAAAGTTCATCTAGTTTTTTTCCATAAGATGGCTCTAGTAGCACTTAGTTGTCTCTAACTTCATTTGAAACATTTTTGTTAGATTGTATTGTGACAGCTGTCATGTCAGTGTGCATTCTTTTAAAAAGTTATCAAAATTGGCAAATTTTTGTATGACCTTTTTAATATTGAAAATTGAAGAAAATATGCAACATTTTCAGCATATTACGCTTTATTATTTCAAGAAAGGTAAAAACACAACTGAAATGCAAAGAGAGATTGTTCAGTGTATGGAGGAGGTGCTGTGACTGATTGAATGTGTTAAAAATGGTTTGTGAAGTTTCATGATCGAGATTTCTTGCTGGGCGATGCTCCATGGTTGGGAAGACCAATTGAAGTTGATAGTGAGCAAATCGAGACATTAGTTGAGAACAATCAGTGTTATACCATGGGGGAGAGAGCTGACATACTCAAAATATCCAAATCAATAAAGTTATTGGTGAAAATGAAAACTGTCTTTTATTTTATGGAAAAAACTAAACAGACTTTTTGGCCAACCCAATAGCTTCTTCCTTTAGGTTTGGACTTGATATGTGGCTCTTCTCACCTTTTCTTTTTTTTTAAATCCTTAGGTATTACCACAGTTTGATACAATAGTAGATAGCTGGTTCCCACCCAACAGGAGATGGAAACATCATCATCAAGACCAGTCAAGACATGCAAGTCGAAAATCTACCACCTCCAAGTTTGCACATCTAACATTTGAGAGTCCACAGCCTTCTTCCAGTTCAACCACACTTGGAAGCCCCTTAGTCCAGGACTGTCCCAATCATTCAGAAAAGGATACTTCCAGAAGGGCCTTAGCTCCAATCCTGAGTCCTCAAAGCTGTGAGGAACTGTCAGCACATGCACTTCAAAACTTACCTTATATGTTTATTGTACCTGATATCCAGACCCCAGAGTCATCTTCTGTGAAGCAGGTGCCTGTTCCCCCAGATCAGAGGGAAAACAGCCTGCCAGGCTGCTCCCCTCACACTAGCACTCCTGAAAGCCCAGAGCCTGGGGCAGTTCTGGTTAAAGACACTCCTGAAGAGAAGTATGGTGTAAAGGTCACTTGGAGGAGACGAAAGCACCTGTTTACTTATCTCAGGGAGAGAGGGAAGCTGAACAAAAGTCAGTTCCTTGTGAAATACTGATGGGATTTCTCAGACATCAGTAATCTCAAGAAATTGATTGCTGGTCTTCATAGAGTTGGTAAAGTCATTTTTTTCTGAGTCAGAAGAGTACATCAATAGAACAAAGTAAAAATAACACTAATAATATCAATAGAAAAAAGGCATTTTAGCCAGAGCCTTGGAGTCATAAGGGAATTCAGTTCCCAGATTTGCTTTTTAAAATACAGTTTTTAGTGTTACAGACAGTTCACTTTATATTTTTCTTGTATGAACCGTTAACATTTTTAAAATATCCTGTAGTAACTGTTTAAGATGTATATAAATAAATGGTTGCAGAAAGTTTTTAGAGAACTCTTCTTGCCAATAATGAGGCAACATTGCCACCTCCACTAAAGTTCTTTCTTAATTGCATGCTTTAACCAGTAGTCATTAATCCTTTAATCACCATGTTCAAACTAATGCATTCTAAATTTTTGAGTGCCAACTCTGGCAGGCTCAGTGGCAGCTTCCTCTATGACTCAATAGTTGGGAAAAAAGCAAAGCAAACTTTGACTTTATAGTTGAACTGCCATCTGTGCAACCTTGGCTCTTCAGCTGAAAGGCAAGAGGAAGAAAGGGCAGCAAGCCCTGTTTTAGTGACTACAGTAGAATCCAGGAGGTAAAGGGGCCGTGGGTAAGTTGCTTAGGTTTGCTGTTTTGATTTTTTTTATTTCCAACCAAAGAAATCTGTAAATATTAAATAGTACAGCAAAATGATTTCTTGGAGTAACTTTAAAATTTATGTAAATAAATGTGGAAACTTTTCAGAGAAACTACTTAATGTAATGTAGGACTGCCCAGTCAACAAAATATCTCCATTGTCCTTTCACCAGTGCAAACAGCATCTCATTCAACTCCATTCCCTTAAATTTAAGAACCTAATTCTGTGTCAGGTTCAGGCCAAGCTAGACAAGCAAAAATTATTCTGTTTATTTTATAGATGGGGATTTGTAGCACAGATAATGAGCCATGTTTAGGGTCACACTGTGGAGGCTGACCTAGCCAGTGCAATGCTCTGCTCTCCTAGCTTGGGTCAAGTTCTAGGCCTCTTAGAACTTCAAAACCAGTCCTACCTGGTGTGGCTCAGTTGGATCATCAGCCTGTAGCTGAAGGGTTGAAGGTTTGACTCCTGGCCAGGGCACATGCCTAGGTTGCAAGTTCCATCCCCTGCCCAGGTGCTTATGGGAGGCAAGTAATCCATGCTTCTCTTTCACATTGATGTTTCCCTTTCTAAAAGCAAAGGAAAACTCCTCAGATGAAGATTAAAAAAAAAAAAAAAAAAAGAAGTAGAAATGTAAGCCCAATGTGGAAACAACTTTGACCCTGGAATCCTATAAGCTAAACTGACTGCAATAACTTTTTTCAGCACTTTTCTAGGTGTTATAATGTAAGTTGGTGGTGAGAAGGGACCTGATGGTTGGGGACAAGATTTATTGGAAACGAGAGTAAAGATTTATATAGCAGATTTCCTTAAGGTATTTAGATGTCTGGAGATGGTCTGTGGGCTGTAGAGTGAGGTAAATGGTAAAGATTCTTAAGAGTTTGTACAGCAGGTCTAGGTATGCTCATTTTGGGCTGGAGTCTGGGGAGGCTGAAGGGAGTTCTTTGTGGTCCCAGTGCGAGAGCAAATGCACTTCACTGGGAATAACTGCTGGAAGAGGCAACAAGTGTGGTTCCTCGGAAGGCCCGGGCTGTGAGGGAGCCAGCAGAGGTCTGTAAGTCCTAATTAACAGTACAGACTCGGGAAGCGCTCTGGGTGGTCTCTGTACAAACGGTTTGAGTGCGGGAAGCCCACTCAGTTTGTGCGGTTAGTGGGGACTGGGCGGATCCTCTAATGGACTCGCTTCCCAACGGCTGGGAGGCCACACCGCTGCTGGAGACACATCCCCGGCCTGTGTGTCTGCTCGTGGTCCTGGCATCCAGCCCAGGCCCGGCACACCAGCCTCAGGGCAAGCGCCTCTAACTGGGTTCTTCCGTCCCTTGGAAGCCCTTCCGCAACGCCGGGAGGCGGCGAGAGCCAATGATAGAGGAGCGGCTGGTCCGTGGGCCAATAGATGGTGGCGATAGTGTGGGGTGCGGTTGCTAGGGGGCGGGGCCCGGCGTACTGGCAGACTTGCCGCTCTGGCAGCGGTGACTGGGGTCGAGTCTCGTTGGGTATTTTCTGAGCTGCGGGAATGGAGGCGTCGCGCTGCCGACTCGGACCGCTCGGAGGCAGGTCAGAGAGGGTTGGAGGCTGGTCTCGTTCTGCAGCGGGGCGGAGGGCCGAAGCTGGACAGTGCAGTCCACTCGACGATCTCTGAAGGAGAGGGCGGTGGGCTCAGGTCGGGGTGGGAGGGGCTGATCTGGAGCCTCCTAATTCCTCCGCGGCGGAGGGCTCCCTTTGCCCGGGGTGGCGGTGGGGAGCGGCGGCCACGCTTTCTGCACCGGCTAGAGGGACTTGGTGTTCAGTCCCTGCTTGGGAAACTCTTGGAATTTTTGTTGTGAGCTCTCCTTGCCCTCTGTGGGCCTCGCTTTTCCAAAACCCGTTAGCCCTGCTCTTCACTCATGGCCCTGGAGTGTCATAACAGATGAACTTCATCATTAGATGAAGTTTTTCTTCAGGACGTCGAAGTGGAAGGTTGGGCAATATCTAATAATTTGCTCTAATGCCATTGCTTTTACTAGGCAGTGCTGAATTCTAGAGCAGAATCCAAGGGCTGAAAATGCAAAAGTATTCTTTTGCTCCTATCCGCTTTGTAGTAATTGTCTCTTATTCAGGACTGGCTGTCTTATTTGCAACATTAACCATACCGCTTTTTTGTGCTCCTCTTTCTCGCTCACGTCCCTTTATCTGCCTCTGCCAGAAATAAAACACCTGAAATCTCAGCATGTCGATTTCTTGTTTGCCCAGTTAATGAAAAGTTAATGAGGAGCGGCATAAAATCATCCACTTAAAACTGGCATTGTCTGAAAATTTTAATCATACACGCCAACTGCATTTCCCAATTTTTATTCCATACCAAGGCAAATAAACATTTAGAGTATGATTTAGTCTGATATGTCGACTAGTAGAGATATAAACAATTCTAAACCATTTAAAAACGTTGTCAGAAGGAGGTACCCATTTTCCGCTTTCATTAGGGTTTCTTTGTGTGATGACTGTGCTCTGTGAATTTTGCTCACTGCACTTTTTCTGCAAGTCGACAGAAAAATAATATACACATATAAAAATATTTACACATACAAATATCGAGGGGCTAGGAGAGGTAAAGTTAAAATTGAGCGTTTTTGTTAAATTCAGATGGTTATTTGTTCGGTAATGGGAACTCAATAAGTCTTAATTGAATGAATTTAAGGCAGTAAATTTCATGGATATCAGATGTTTGATATAACTCATGATTTTGGGGGGGAAATGGAATTGACTTTGAAACTGAGAATGGTTAATTTATTGTATCTAAAGTTTGAAAGGACAAGTTTAAAGTTCTCCTCTCCTTTTTTCCCCAAAGAAACTAGCTCTTTAATTTTGAAATTTACATCAAAGGGGAATATATGAGTCACCAAATGTTTCTCCTGTCTTAGGTAATGTTAGTGCATCCTCTATTACTGTTTAACTCATTTGTTGTTGAGAGGGAGTGGAATGTGACTTGGGTTTTTTTTTTGGCTATAGGTTGTGAGTTGAATGTTTTTCATAAAAAACATGGATAGAAGGTTTTAAAAAATTCAAAAAAAATTCTCATCTGAATAAAAATATGTTCACTGATTTTAGAAAGAGAAAGGGAGGGAGAGAGAAAGGGGAGAGTGAAGGAGGGGGAGAAAAAGAAACATCAATTCATGGCTTACCAATACCCGCCACACCACAGCCAGGGTAACTCACAACCTAGGTGTGTGCCCTAACAGGGAGTGAACCTGCAACCTTTTGTTGCATGGGCCGATTATCCAACCAATGGAACCACCTGAGCCACCCGAGCCACCCAGCCAAGGCAAGTTTTTGGCATTAATGCCTTCCTTTCCCTTGCCTTTGCCCTTTCCCTTTTCTCTTTTCCCTTTTCCCTTCCCTCCCTCCCTCCCTCCCTCCCTCCCTCCCTCCCTCCCTCCCTCCCTCCCTCCCTTCCTTCCTTCCTTCCTTCCTTCCTTCCTTCCTTCCTTCCTTCCTTCCTTCCTTCTGAGAGGGAGAGGGGAAAGAGAGAGAGAAACATCTATGGTTGCCTCTCATATACACCCTGACCAGGCCAAACCTGCAACCTAGGGAATCCAACTGACAACCTTTCATTTTGTGGAGACATCCAACCAATTGAATCACACCAGGCAGGGATGGCATTAATACCTTTCAGTGTGAAGTGTAACATCTGACCTTTACATTTCCTGTAATTTTTTCTTTTTTGAATTCTGTGACGGTTTTACTATGAGGTGGATTTATTTTCAACAAAGTAGAAAAATTAACAAATTTCAAATATTTTTCCTGTGTCTGAAATATTTAGCGCAAATTGGAGCTGAGAACTTTTGAGGAGGCTAGGCATTTGATATTATAGATTCCCTAGAGATGACAGTGATTGGCTAGTGCTAGAATTTGAGCCCTCTTTGGCCTTTTGTTCCTGATCTAGAATTGAAGACTCTAGGTGAGAGAGACTTCTCAGGGTTGTGTGACCTTATGACCCATAATTGACTAAGAATGTCTTCATCTGTGGTTTTTCCATATGCCTTGATTTCTCTTTAAAAAATATGAGCAGTAGAAGTGGCTGGATGTTACATCTTGGCCAGGCTTGTTATCCTGTCTTCCTTTTTTAGGACATGTTATCATGTTCTTCCTTTTTTAAATGTTTCATAAGATAACGTAATTAAAAATTTTTTTTCCCATTATCACTTAGTCCCCTTATACCCCCTCCCCCCAGATCAACTGATTGTTGGCAAACAGACCTACCCAGTGCTTTAAAATACTTAGATTAACTAATACACGACTACAGTATGTTTGGCAAATATCAAAAGGTAGAGTAAAGGCCTAATAATGTCTAACGTGTATGTATTTCTCCAGTTGTGAAGATTACCTACAGACCTGTAAAGGAAAGAATAAATTTCCTTTCAAGATCCTTCTGTTTATGCAGACAGACATTTTTGGAATAGTTTTCAGTTCTGGCTTCTCGTATTCCTAACTATGGGAACTCTGCTGTTTCCCTGCATTTGTGCTCATTGAAAGAAAAAGTTGTTTTTTCTTACCAAGAGGAAAAGTACACTTGAATTGCTCAGAGGAGGAGTTGAAACTGTCTTGCTTTTTTGTGTTTGAGGTTTTAACGACTAGAAGGGGCATTGGCGATTCCCTTAGTTTTCCTATTTGAGAGTAATTCCACAGTGGAATTAAATAAGGCTTCTTTCAAGTTCGAATTTCCTGTCTTCCGCTTTTCCTTTATTTCTTCTGAGTCAATTCACTAGGAATAAGCTCTTTGTACTACTAACTCTATTCTGCCTCATCAGACATCCTTACTAATTAGTAAGAATGAAAGCTGCAACATTTCCTGGCCTGGCTAAGTTTAAATTCACTGTGCCTAAGAGAAGACACAGTATTTGCATGCTGATTGATGTGTTTTTATTCACTCAAATATTTGGTATGAATCTCTGGCCCTTTGCCTTAGAACTTCTGTGGGAACATTCATGATGAGCACTGTATCTTGAGCCATTGGGCCTCTGGAGGATCACAGTTCTGAAAAGGCTTGTAGGATGACTTTTATTTTGTATAGAAAACAGCAAGATGGCACTTGCTGTTTTAACACATGACTCTGTGGTGAGGCGGGAAATGCTGGGAGCTTCTCCTGCATTGCTGAGTTCTAGTCCCAGCTTTTCCTCTCTCCTTAGCCGTGTGAGCTTGAGCAGCTCATCTCCTGGAGCTTCAGTTATCTCCTCTGGGAAGTGAGGGGTTCTTCAGGTTCCCTCAGTGATTTATAATGAATTAATACAGTAACAAATACATACATCTGAGCTGCACATGGCTCAAATTTCAAAAGGTACAAAAGGTTATTAAGTGAAAAATGTGTCTTATTGTCTCTGTTTCACCTAGTTCATTCATCGGTAGGTTTCTTAGGGAAGCCTTCCACAAATATTATGTGTGTTAAATAATCCTTTCCAGACTTAAAAATTTGATGACTTTGAGTTTTAGGGTAGAATATAATATTCTTAACTCTAATATCTACATTTATGCTGGGCAAGATCTGATTTTAGAAAATGAACTATTGTTGCCGCAAGTTTTAATTATTTCCTATGATAATTAGTGTGTAGAAAATAGGACTGTAAGAAGAGAACAAGAATTATTTTTTTTCAGATGGACTTCTGGAAAAATAAATCATTCTATTTAACTTTGCAGCAAGAAACTTCAATAAATCTATAGTTTGCTTTTAATGTTGGGTTTTAGAATGAAACAAGTGTAATAATTGACTTGTTTCCCTGTTGAAACCTAGTATAATTTTGTTATGGTGATTTGGTATGTCATACAAGCTAGAGGCAAAACAGAGAGAAGTGTTTGACTGAGAAACATAAGCTATGTGGGACATGTAAAAAGAAGAGGGGTTCACTTTAAAGTACTTTTCCTTGCTGCATTCTTTAGGATCAGATGAATGATCTAATCAGTCTAATCTTTTGCCAACTTTTCCTTCTCACCTGTCTCTCCCCAAGAGATTGCCTCTACTAAATGGGTCTCTTAGGAAATGGATTTTCATTCTCTGACCTCAGTTCCAGGTTGCAGAGTCATTCAAGTAGAAGACAGATGAGCCTAGAATACTAACATTTCTCCTCAGATGAGGAAGGATGGATTCCAAAGGAGTCTTTTTCTGGCAGTTCTAATTTGATCTTTGAGTGCTTTTCCCCAGGAGGAATGTTTTGTTCCAGCCAGATGTGTTCTAGGTGTCTTATTTAGGATTTGGACAAGATGAATCTATTTCTGAATGAACTTAGAGACAGTTAACTTTATGAAGAGCCATTGCCCCAAGGGACACAGTGAAATCTGATGACTCCTTTTTCAGTATATTTACTGCACTAGGTTGCTCCCAAGGGCTACTTCAGAATCCATTTACTGGCCTGGAAATTCTGCTACCTAAAAATACCAGATGAACTGGCACTTTTACAGAAAAGATTTCTTGTCAGACATTTTGAAATAGGATAACAGTGAAATTCCAGACTCTCTGCTGGCCATTTGAATATAGGTGGTCAGAGGTGCAGGTTAGTATGCTGAGATGGTGAATGAGATTTGTGATT